CAGCCACATCAGACTCATTGCCTGTCATCAACACTATAACTCAGCTCCTTTAGATCTTGAGAACATTTTTAACACACCTTCCTTTGTTGTCAGCTGACACTGGAGCTAGTTGGAAGTAACACTGAGAGCCAAGTGAGGTGCCCATAGGGCACAGGGAGGGAGCTTTGAAGTATGGAAGATCTAGGTTCAAACCCCAGCTCCATGATTTAAATAGTTGGTTGATCTTTGGAAAATCATTTAATTTCTCTTAAGAGTCTGATTAGCTCAGTTTCTGGTATGATTGTAAGTCTCTAGCAGTGATTATTAGTATACTTTACAATTTTGCCTAGGATGAAGCTAGACGCTCTACCCTAAAATCAATCAAGATAAAAGAAAAGGCAAACATTGGACCCTCTCAAGGAGTCTAGATTTGAAGGTCTTCAAACGTAGGAATTATACATAAATTTCTTTGGTCTGAAGCGGCCTAGCTCAGAGGTGAGGGCAGCGCAGGTGCCTGTGCCCACTGCAGGAGTCCTGATGGAGAACTTGCATCCATAGAAGATGTCCGCCCAGCTATGGGGAGAGAGGCAGCCCCCAGCAATCAACTGGTCGGCAATCTCAGGCCTGAAAATGGGCTTAGAGCTCGAATAAAGAGGTGCACATGCACCCATCTATCAGAGGTACTGAAAGAGCCCCAGAAATGTGACAGCAAGGAAACTATACTTGTGAGGACTATATCAGAAAATTCACTTGAATGACTGCTAGATTTTTAGCCTGTCTCGTGTCTCTTGATCCAGCTCTACATATGGGACCTTAATTTTCTGTCTCAGGCTCTCCTTCTCACTCTTTCCAGCTTATCAGCTCTGCAAATCTCTACCTCACTGTATCTTCTGAGGCTACTCTTTTCCTGAACCCTAGAAAGGCTGCCTCAGTGGCAGTCCCCATGTGTCCCTGTAGAAAGTTAGACATTAGCTGATACAATTTTGTTGCTTGTGACAGCTAATGGCTGGACTAGCTGAACCTAATTTGTTATCCTATTTCATAGTAGTCCAAATAAATTACTTATAAACTACTACAAACTACTTCATAATAGTTAGTGTATATGATGTAGACATGTAGATGATCACAGCTCATGCATTTCAGCAAACACTTGCCTCTCTACATTCGTTCCTCCCATCCTCTATGACTCAAATGTCTTTCTGTACCTAAGGAAATATTTCTCATCCTTCGAGGCTCAGTTCAAGTACCTTCTTCTTTAAGAAGTTTTCCCTGATTCTCCAAGGCATTATGCGTCAACCCCTTTCCTACCCACATTCTCATACCATACTAGTATCTTTCCCTGCTGGGAATTAGAGGCATGGAAACATTGCACATTTTTTGCAGTGGACACTCAATACAAATTTGAGTTGAATTTAACCAAATTCCAAAGGGTGTTTCTGGTTAATGATTTCTTTCCCTAAAGAAATCAATAGGGTGGAATTGTAAAAGCATACAAGCTTTCAATAGTAAGAGGACCAAGTTCTGAGGATCTAATCTATAACATGGTGACAGGTTGATAAGACCGCATTGTATAACTGAAATTTGTTAAGAGAGTAGAACTTAAATGTTCTCACAAAATAGAAAAGAAAGAAAGAAAAAGTAAATATGTGAGGTAATGGATGTGTTAATTAACTCGATGTGTGCGTGAGCGGGTCCTTTCACAATGTATATCAAGTCATCACATTGCACGCTTTAAATATCTTACAATTTTATATGTGAATTGTACTTCAATAAATGGGGGGAGGAAACAACGTAGAACTTTCTTTATTCATATTAATAGCAAGAAGACACATTTTTAAAAAATTAATGAGCTAGAAAAGGCAAACAGGAAAAAGCAATGCTATTTCACCTGAATTGTAAATTTCGTTTAACAAAAGTTCACTATCTAAATATGTAGACTGAGAAACCTTTTGGACCACTACTCTTTGGCAAAGACCAAATGTTTCTTTGTATTAAAAAAATTATAATACATCATACAAAATTATATATTGTCTTCAAGCCTTTATAGCATGTGATAAGTAAAATTTTAAATGAGTAGTAAATATTATCAAGTAAAATGTCTTTGAGGCTTTATAGTCTTGCCTCAGCTCTGAAGCCTCTGCCAAGGACTAGGCGAGGCTAATAGTGGGTTTTTAGTTGGTATATAGGTTAAGGACAGCCAGCTAGAAATTTACCATCTATGACATTATTTGTATGCCTTGCTTTAAACTACAGTACTTTAAAACCTAATCTACACAAATAATTATAAAAGCAGCACATGCTCAGTGTAGAAATATTGAGAACCTGACATATTCCCCCTCCTTCTCCTTCCTACTCTCCGCAGGTAGAAGGGTCACTGGGAAACCACATGACCCACCAGGAGTTACTGGAGGGCAGCAGAGGAGCAGAAGGTGTGGCAGACCAGAAGTGGATGATAGCCCCATGTGACTGACACAAGCCTGATTACCCATAGCGCACTGCATGAGGCGACAGGTGTGCTGCCCGAATTTTGAGCTTCATCTTACAAAGACAGTTTCAGAGCTCTATTCTCCCAATCTCCTTTGTAAAAGCAGTGATCTTCCAACAAATCCCATCTGATTTTTAGCAATATAGCTTTTTAATGACATAATTTGTCACTGATCCTCCAACAAATCTGAATCAAATCATCTTATCTCTCTTCTGTTTCTTATTCTGTCATCCATAGCATCAGTCCCACAACCACTTAGTTAGCCATGCATTAACTATAGACTTCTTTCCTGCCTATGTAAATCTAGATGAGACTTCTTCAGTGACTCCTACAGTTCAAACATCCCACCAACACGACAGACCTCTGCCTCCATGATCTGGCCTCCAGTTAGTTCTGCAAACTCATCAGCAGCCCCGCTTATACACACACTAGGCTCCCATCACGCAGAAAGGCCTGTGCTTCCCTGCCCGTTATAGCCTCTGGGCGTCATAAATGTTGTTCCTCGGTGGACATCCTTCCCCTGCCCTGAACTCAAACTTCATGTCCTTCAAGACTAAAACTAAAAGTCCTTCAAGATTCTATGTAAGTCTATTGGTGGGATTGCGGACTGGTATAACCACTATGGAAAACAGTATGGAATTTTCTCAGAAAACTAAAAATGGATCTGCCTTTTGACCCAGCAATTCCACTGCTAGGATTATATCCTAAGAACCCTGAAACACCAACTCAAAAGAACCTATGCACCCCAATGTTCATAGCAGCACAGTTTACAATAGCTAAGTGCCAGAAGCAACCTAAGTGCCCATCAGTAAATGAGTGGATCAAAAAACTATGGTACATTTACACAATGGAATTCTATGCAGCAAAAAGAAAGAAGGAGCTCCTACCCTTTGTGACAGCATGGATGGAACTGGAAAGCATTGTGCTAAGCAAAATAAGCCAGGTGTGAAGGGCAAATACCATATGACCTCACCTTTAACAGAAACCTAATCAACAAAACAAATGAACAAGCAAAATATAAGCAAAGACACTGAAATTGAGAACAGGCTGACAGTGACCAGAGGAGAGAGGGGAGGGAATTTCAGGGGAAAAGGGGAAGGGTTTACAGGAATAAGTATAAAGGACCACGGACAAAAATTACGGGGGCGGGGTGGAAATGGGAGGGAGGTGGGGAGGGCTGGGAGATGGGCTGGGATGGGGGTAAAAGGCAGAAAACTGTACTTGAACAACAATTAAAATTTAAAAAATGGACCAAAAAAAAAGATTCCTTGCAAGTGTCACTCTGCCCTGTCTTTCTTGACATGTCTCAGTAAAGTCCTTGCTCTTCTGTGCTGCCATAGTATCTTGTCCACATTTCCATTTTAGTATTTATGATAAATTATTAACTTAAAATTCTTCTAACAGAGCGGGGGTCCATATTGTCTCACAGTGTCTAGGTATCCCCTGAATTACAGACAAAATTTTATGTAAGTTCATTTTCTTCTAGGCAAAAGGTTGCAGAGCTCGCATCAGACTCTCAAAGGAGCCCATACACACTCTCAAAACCAAGAACCACTGCACTGGGTTATGAATCCCTAGAAAAGCATAGTGAGTTCTCTTCTTCTTTCAGTCTCTGCAGTTAGATGCCTAATGTTTGCTAAATGAACATTTCAGTTATCATTTGAGGGTAGATGTTTATATTATTAAATATACAGTAAAATCCAACCTCCTCTATTCATTAATGTAGATAGGAAGTAGATAGGAAGTGTGATACAGTGAAGAGCACATGGGCAAAAAGAAATTTATGGAAGAATTTATGCCAAACCAACAGTGGTTATGCTTGGAAAGCAGATTGGAGCAGGAGGGGACGAGCTTTCAGAGTTTACTTACAGTCTTCTGTCTGGATCAAGCTTGTTTGCTTGTTTGTTTTACAATGCGTACTTTTCAGTTTTGAAACTTAAAAATCATGTTTTAAACTTTGGGACTTTTTTCTTAAGTGCATGAGACATTTAGCTTCAAACTCCTGCTGTGTTCATTATTTTTGTGACTCTGCATACCTTACGTAACCTTTAGAAACCTAAATTTCCTCTACTGTGATGTGAGGGTGATTCCTATGTCACATAGCTCCTGTGTCACACAGCCTCGCATAAAGTAAGGACTCAGCAAATATTAGTTGAGTGTAAAATTTGTTGTTCCTAAGGTTTTTCTGCAAGCCCCAAAGACATGTAAAATAGAACTCAGTCAAAAGACGTAGTTCATTATTTTCTCAGTACTGTAAGCGTTCATGTACGCAGTGAAACTCTGGGGTGACATGGATAGTTTATACGGTGGCTATTAGCTTTGACCTCTAACTAATAATAGAATCTCGTAATATTTTTATATGTTTGTTTTTAAACAAAGAAAGGTTACAGAATTCTTCAGAGTAATTTATAGTGCTTGCACTTCAAGAATAAAGTAAAGTGCTGGTTTAAACTAAGTATAAGTGCATTGGTTTAAAGTAAGCTCTCAGTTTATCTGTGTTCTTATTAGAAATAAGTTCTTTGCAATTTCCACTCACCTCATGGCCTGTCTCCAGCAGTAGACATCACACCATGTTTCGAAAAGTCTTCCTGATTTCTCTAGAGGGTCTATAAAAAATAAAATGCCATTAATAATGATAGGTGCCTTGTAATTTATACCATCCTTTGTTCCTGTAATTTTAGAACTAAAAGTTTTCATTATATATGCAACTGACTGTTGCTAAAATTTTCTAGTAGTTCAAAAAATGTAAGTAAATATATTTATATTTATATTTATATTTATATTAAAAATATAAAAGTAAAAGTTCTTGTTTCTCATAGTCTTTTAATTTTTAAGTCACTTGGTGTTAAGTAGGTACAACTACCTCAATATTTGTATCTTTGGACTAACTACTAAAAATAAATACCTATGTATTTAAAAACATAGTTGGAGTATTCCAACATGGGTCAGGGAGCTTTGCTAAATAAGGAGAGTTCAAAGCAGTTCATCTGATCCTAAAATGATAGAAGCCAAATCTAGAGGTTTTCCTAAGTATCCCACATTAAATGAAGTCACCTACTTCAAGTGACAATGACATAGGTTTGTAATGGGTTTTTCTGTAGAGGCTAATTGAAGTGATCTACAGTCAAAATGAAATACAAACCCATTTGGAAAACACTTTATGATTTATCTTGTTTTTGTGAACAGTGCAACAAGTTCCAAGCCAGCTACCTCTTTTATTTATTTTTCATTATCTGAAACCTCTAGGGCAGTTTGGCTGTGTCACTGAATCTTTTTTAAAAATTTAAAATCATTTTAATATATTTAGCTATCAATACATATTAAAACTCATGAATTTACTCTGGTATCTTCTTAAATTTCCGTTCAACCCCTGCAATTCCAGTACAACATTCTGTCTTCTCCTCTTTCCATAGTCTGGGCTTCAGTCTCTTGACCTGTAGAACTGGCACAGCAGTGGTAATGGTAGCCTCACGGTGCAGGTATCAGGATTAAGGGAGACGAAGGCTGAGGGCCAGAGCAGAATGTGGGCAGTAGCAGAATCAGAAGCTTACTCAGTCACCCATACCATTTTGTCGAGGTCCCTGTCCATTATCCTAAGCAAATCTATGTTTACTCCCAGCTAAGCTTACACTTTTTTTCCTTTTAACTTTACAGGTATTATTTTTTAATTCTATTTGTGCATAATGCTATTCTTTGTCTTGAAAGAATGGGAGAGGCCATGGAAAGCCTGGTATTGGCTTTGTCAGTCACTGCTAACTGCGACCCTGTCTCCATTCTCTCCTTTTCTTCCAGTAACCCAGTTAAAAAACTGTATCTTGCCTTCCTCTTTATAGCTACATGTAACCATGAGAATAGATCCTCCCCATCAGGTACAAGTAGGAAGAATGTGAGTGACCTCTGGCACGTCTCCTTAAAAGAGAGAAAGCATCTTTTTCTTCCTACTTCTCCTTCCTGCTGGCCGACCACCAGTGAGGTCAGTGGCATCCTAGCAATCTCTTTGGACCAAGACATGATGCACAAGGATGGCGGAAGAGCCGCACAGCAGGGACCTGGGTCCCTCACACGCGGACCTGCTCTAACAGCTCTGGACTGCCTTCCTCTGGGCTTTTCTTTTTTTAATGTAAGAGAGAAATAAACTTGCAGCTTATTTAAGCCACTATTATCTTGACTTTCTTATCTACAGATGAACCCACCCTGTATGCTGGCACTCCAGGAAGTTGTCTAGAACCAAGAATCATTCTTAATTCTTGAAACTTTTTTTCATTTCCTTTGAGCACGTCTGTGCTTTCTATTAACAAATTCTTCCTTCTTTAAAGCCTCTAATGTGTCACTCCAGTCCTTGTTTTTGCCCTTTCTCCCTTTCATCACTCATATTTCAGATATTACACTCATTTGAGCTCTGCAGATACGAATTTTAACTCTCAGATATTGGAAAATGGGGCACAAAAATTGGGGAAGAAAAAAGGAAGTTTGCCTAAAATTGTCTTTAGCTTTCTTTGTGAATTATAGAAAGAATGGTTCATTTCAATTCAATAAGCATTTATTAAGCACACCCTATGTAAAAGGCAGTGTCATGTGCTGGGAGAATTATAAAGATGACATTGCTCCTCCTTCAAGGAGCTTACCATCTAGTAGGAAAGATGAGACACATGAATGTGACAAATGCAGTGAGAAAAGTGTAACATGCCTAGAGCTTTCAGAGGAGAAAAGGGGGGCCCCATTTGTGGGGACTAGAGAAAGTTTCATGAAGAGGATAGGATTTGAGGTGGGCTTTGAACAATTTGTAAAAATGATAAAAAGAGGATCCACAAAGGAACAGAGGCAAAAGTTACAAGGCATGGGTAGATTTAGGGATCCTAGGGAGCATGGAGGATAGAGTAGGGGGTAAGGCTAGACAGGTAGATTGGGGACAGATACGGGGCTGTGAATATCCTCTTCAAAGGCTGCTCTGCAGTGGAGAGTTTAAGGAGTCACTGAAAGTTTTTAAGCAAGGGAGGAACTGGATCACATGTCCTCGGTAAGAAGATGTCTGTTTGTCATGTTATAAGAAAGACGGGCCACAAAGAGGCCAGTGAGTGGGCACCTTTAATACTCCAAGTTGAAGGTGAAATGACCTGAATTAGGATAGGAAGGAAAGCAAGGCAAGGAAAGCACAGAGAGTTGAAAGCAACATTTCAAAAGCTACTAAATGAGTTGCATGTCTGCTTTGCCCAGGAAAAAGAGTTGGATTATAATTCTCAGATTCAGAAGTGGAGAATATATCCATTAAAGAATTTTTTAAATTTTTCTACACTTACTTGAACTAGAAAACTAAAAAAAGGCTGAATATGCTGTAACAACAAACTTAATTGGTTCTGCAATTTTAGCAGAGCGTTTTCCCCCCAGATGCCAATTGGGAGTGCACTGAAGAACTACTAGGAGATGGAGACAAAGTATTGAAAAGCATCTTAGCAAAGAAATGCAACCATCCCTTCTTTTCCATTGTTCATCTTTTTTCCTGGTATTATGGTAAAAAGCAGGTGTCTGGGTAATTTAAAAGGAAGGTTCCTTCCACTTTTGCCCAATTATCTCTTTACCCACCTTTATTCGTTATCTCTACCCACCCCACCTACCCACAAACTCTGTAAGAAATCCAGTGAAGATTTAAGAGGAAAGGGTTTTCTAGAGTGCATAAGAATTTTCTAATATTTGCCTATTTGTTTCTCACTAAAAATATGCCAGCATAGCCAGCAGAAAAATAGAAAAAACTGGTATACACCCATATAAAGGTACTGTATTCTCAAATAGCTTTGAGTTAAGTAACCCCAAATCCCCCTAAAAATATCCTAAATAGCTACTTCCTCATATTCAGGGGACAAATTCTATGGAGTTCCTCAAATATACAAATTTGAATATCTGATCAGGTGCAGCTTTCTCTTTTTATTTTTCTGATTACTTTAGGAAAACTTAAATGGATGTTAATACTAACATTTTTTTCTCAGTAAGAGCAGGAGCAAACAGCAAAATAATTGTGAACCTACCAATTAGAAGAGTGTCTTTTATAATATCTAGCAATTTATGGTTTAATTCACCTTATTTGGGGCCCTGAAAGCACCTTACAAGTAAATAATGAGGATTTTTTCCTTCTATGACTCCCCAGGTGATTCCTGGTGCTCTCGACAGCGCAAATGATTAATCAAGTCACTAGGGGCAGGCAGCAGTAATGTGATTGTCAAAACTATGGCTATTGGCAAATTGTGTTTCACTGTCAAGTTAATTGTGTGTGTGTGTGTGTGTGTGTTTTGAGAGGTGATCAGTGTGAGAATCTGCATTTTCAACATTGTCCCTGAGAGAAAATTATGAACCTAAAGATTTTTACATTTTAAAAATCTCCAGAAACATATAAAAATATTCAGCAACTCGTACACCAGTCCTAAAATTCAAAATCAAAGGTTCTTAACCTGGGGTCTACAGATAAGATTCAGACAATCCGTAAATCCCCTGAAATTGTATGGAAAATTTTGTGTGATTTTATATTTTTTTTGTAAAGGGGATTGGCTTGGTACCCAAAGATTATTAAAGCGATCCTTGACCCTGAAAAGGTTAAGAACTACTACCATTAAAAAAAAAAGAAGAAAGGGAGGGGGAGAGAGAGACAAATGTATGTGAGGTTGGTACAAGGCACTTGTCTGTTAACGTTTATATTTGTATTAAAAGTTAACAATAGTATGATCATCTTCCTTTCAAAAGCCTCTGAGATTGCATTAGATTACATTTTTTAGATTGCATTTTCAGAGCCCATAGTATTAAAAAAACTGTAGATGTTAATTAAATTCATGAAAACTTTAGAATAAATGTGTGGCAGAAATTTATTTCTCTAGTATAAATTTCTGATCATTTATGGTAAATCCTTCAGAAGTGCCTTCAATGAAATGACTATGTCATTTGCAGCAATATAATTTTGTACTATTTAAAAAGACAAAAAGGTATTAAAAAACAAATGTCTATATTTTCAAAATACTATTGTTTTATCGTATAAAACCCATATAATTCTAGTTCTAATTATTATGGAATACTACTCTCATTTAACTAAAGAATAAAAATCTTTCAAGTGAACCCAATTCTTATCCTGCTCCCAAAACCCCGTACAGGGTTTAGAATTAAGATTCACTAATTCCCTGCTAATTAATCAGTACATATTTTTCTGAATATAGCATGAGCTCTTTTATTTCTTTCTGTGTTACAAAAGGCACAAATCAACCTCCCTGCATTCCTAATCTTTTTCATTTTTTATTCTTAATGCTAAAGAAACATTGGATTTACTTGCCTTGTAAATAAAAAACCTATCACTCTTTAAGATTGCTGTCAAAATTTAATGCAGCTTCAGTTAAATATGTAACATGCAAAACTTTTCGGTCCCCAAACATTTAATTAGTTGACAACCTATAAAGGCAGATTATAACATAATTTTCAAACTAAGCAAGAAAATGAATGTTTTATAAATTGTTATAACTTTTTAATAAAAAGTTCTTTTTTTCAATAGCTAATTTAATGTTAGCATATTTGGAATCAAAATTAATAAGGATCGATGGGCTTTCTTCTCTTAATAAGAACACCCCTCTCAATTCCTCTCAAAGCACATAAAAGCACACACTTACCCCATGGTGCTTGCTGTGGTCATATCATCCTTGGATCCAGGCTTATCTGGATTCTGATTTAACTTAAAGGTTATAAAAAGAAGCAGAAGAGAGGTTTGACTTCCCCGGAAACGAGACTGTCATATGCTAACTAGGCTTTTAAATGAGGAAAACTAGTGTCTCTTCTAATTATATAAGCTCCAGGTCAAATTCTAGCATCAACTAATCAAGTAACTGAACTGTGTTTAGTTTCAAGGAGTAGAAGAAAGAAAGCTGTTTAAGAGGGATCACTTTGGTCTCTTAGAAAACTGGAAACTCGAGCATTGAAACGTTATTTAATTATCAGTACAGTTAAAGATTTTAAAAGCAAAGTATATATCTTGCTACTTTAAATAATTCAAAAAATATTGGGGAAATTTAGTTTGCAGTAAAGCAAATGTTTTGTATTTTTCAGAAGTTTTGAATTTGCATTATATATATGTCCTGCTCCTGAAAAACATCCTCTCACCTGATCTTACCCTGTCTAGTATTTGTCCTTATACATTCCAGTACAATAATATTTTCATTCTAAAAGAATACATTAATACTAAGCAACAAATTCAAAAATGTCAAATTTTTAAACTGTATCTTTGAACACTAAAAAGTAGGGTCTTTTGAAATTAAATACAAAGCTATTATTATAAAAACTAACAAAAACACCATTTTTATTTTAATATTTTAATATTTTAAAATACATTTCAACACAGATTTATAGTACAACAAAAATTTTAAATATTTTGGCAATGGTATATTGAGAAACACAAGTTTTAGTAAGATTTTGGATAAAGAAATATGATACAGAAGTTGTCTAGTGCATGCACCATTTTTTGTCAGTTTTAGAATAATAGTTTCAGCAAAAACACTCAGGTCTTAATTGTAGTTTTTCATCTGTAGGTGCTATGCACTGTTCTGGTAATTGAAAAAAATTTATGTAGAAGGTAAAGCAGCTTTCTAGCCATAGAATATGTGAAGACACAAAGATCTAGTTTTGAGAAAATTGAGATGTGATTTACATACCATATGCAAAGCTTGCCCTTTTAACGTGAACAATCTGTGGTTTTTAGTATTCACAAGGTCGTGTAACCCTTACCACTAATTCTAGAACATCTTTCATCACTCAAAAAAGAAACCCCATGCCTCCCAATTCCTCCCTCCCCTGGCAGCCACTAATCTACTGAACATTTCACACAATGGCCATACATAATGTGGCCTTTGTGACTGGATTCTTTCACTTAGTACAATGTTTTCAAGGTTCATGTTGTAGCATGTATCAGTACTTCATCCTTTGGGGAGCTGAATAAAATTCCATTGTACGGATCTACCACCTTTGTGTATCCATTTATTAGATGATGGACATTTGGGTGTCTCCACTATTGGGCTGTTATGAATAATGCTGCTACAGACATTCCTGTGCAAGTCATTTCTCTCGGGTATATACTTAGGAATTGCTGGGTTGTATGGTAACTACATGTCTAACTTTTTGAGAAACCGTTTTCCACGGCAGCTATACCATTTTACATTCCCACCAGAAATGTTTGAGGATTCTACTTTCTCTTCATCCTTGCCAGACTATCTGTTGTTTTAACTAGAGCTATCCTAGTGATTGTGAAGTAGTATCTTACTGTGGGTCAAATTCATATTTCTCTCAAGAGTAATGATATTGCACATCTTTTCATTTGCTCACTAGGCATTATTTTTTCTTTTGAGGAAATGTCTATTCAAATCCCTTGCCCATTTATTAATTGGGTTGTCTCTTTACTTATATATATTTATATATGAGTAATTTATGTATTCTGGAAACCAAACCTTTATCAGATATTTGATCTCCAAATATTTTCTCCCATTCTGTGGATTATCTTTTCTTTTTTTTTAAATTGATTTTGAGAGAGAGAGAGAGATGAATTTGTTTTCCACTTATTCATGCATTCATTGGTTGGTTCCTGCATGTGCCCTGACTAGCAATCAAACCCACAACCTTTGTGTATCAGGATGACTCTCTCACCAGCAGAGCTAGTGGCCAGGGCCATCTTTTCATTTTCTTGATAGTTTCCTTTAACACATATACTTTTTAACAATGGCAAAATTCAGGCACAGGATTGGAAATGGACTTTGCCATGATTTGGATAGTTTTGCTGTTTAAATAAGCAAACTCTCAACTGAATCATTTTATTTTAAACTAATTATAAGATGATGAAAATAAAGTTCAAAAAGGCATAAGTGAATGACGGCTTTATTGGCAAAATTATAATAGAGAGGTGGTGTGTGAAGTTATTTCGGATGACATATTTGTTTTCCTTACAACGAACAGCTTCAATCACCACATTAAAACTTGCAGAACATCTACATGTGGAGCTTTAGCTTCAGGCCCGGGGCAGCTGTGAAATGAAAGATGCCGCACCACTCCAGCCCTTGGGTGTCAGTGTACTGTCCTACGCCTTCCACCCTGCAATAGTAAGAAATGCTTATTCATTAACCAAGACCAGGAACTTACAAGCCAAACATAAGACTGTCTACTTAGTGACATATTATATGCTATTGTCTGAAAAATTACAGCTTTCCATTTTCAGACTTTGATTTAAAACCCAGCACTTCAGTGGATTGAGTGCAGGCTGCGAACCAAAGTGTCGCAGGTTCAATTCCCAGCCAGGGTACATGCCTGGGTGGCAGGCCATAACCCCCAGCAACCACACATTGATGTTTCTCTCTCTCTCTATCTTCCTCCCTTCCCTCTCTAAAAATAAAATAAAATCTTAAAAAACAACACCAACAAAAAAACAAAAACCCAGCACCCTGTTTTCATGTCCTATAAAAAAACCAAACTGTTAATATTAGTGTTTCAAATAACCACTGTCATTATAGAAATTCTGGTGTCCAAGATTTTAAGATCACATAAGTTAGGTTTACACAAAACTCAAAACAGTTTAAAAATGAAAAGTTCACTTCTGGCCAAGATGGAGGCGTAGGGGGACACACTGTGCCTCCTCACACAACCAAAATTAAGTACAACAAAAATTTAGAAACAAAAAAACAACCAGAACAGACAGAGAATTGAACTGTATGGAAGTCCTGACAACCATTCATCCAGACCAGTAAGAGAGGCAGAGAGGGGTCGCAGCAGAAAAAAGTGGTGGCTGGTACACACAGGGCGCAGGCGGCAGTTGGCAGACACCAGGTGCACAGGTGGCGGCTAGCAGACCCCAGTGGCAGACCCTGGGCACGGGCACCGGAGTGGGCGTGGGTGTGGGGAGGCAACAAGCAGATCCAGTAAGGTACACAAGGCAGCTGGCTGTCCGCAGTCACACATTTGTGCGCAGATAAACCAAGTGAAAACGGGCAGTGAGACAGACTGCACAACCCAGGGCCCCAGTGCTGGGAAATAAAGCCTAAAAGCACCGTTGAAAACACTTGTGGAGGTTGAGGTGCTGAGAGAGACTCCCAGCCTTACAGGAGAGTTCTTTGGAGAGACCCACAGGATCCTAGAACGTACACAAGCCCACCCACCTGGGGAACCAGCACCAGAAGGGCCCAGTTTGCTTGTGGGAAGTGGCAGAAGGGACTGAAATCCAACAGAGAGCGGAGCAAGTGCCATTGTTCCCTCTCTGACCCAGCCCCCACATACACCGTCACAACCCAGTGATGAGGAGAGGCTTAGGAACCTCCAAGACATCTTTAAACATTCCAACATCCGAATTATAGGGGTACCAGAAGGAGAAGAGAAAGAGCAACAAGTGGAAAAGTTACTTGAACAAATAATAAAGAGAACTACCCCAATCTGGCAAAGGAAATAGACTTCCAGGAAGTCCAGGAAGCTCAGAGAGTCCCAAAGAAGTTGGACTCAAGGAGGAACACACCAAGGCACATCATAATTACATTACCCAAGATTAGAATGAAGGAGAGAAGCCTAGAAGCAGCAAGAGATAAGGGGACAGTCACCTACAAAGGAGTTCCCATCAGACTGTCAGCTGATTTCTCAAAAGAGACCTTACAGACAAGAAAGGGCTGGAAAGAATTATTTCAAGTCATGAAAGGCAAGGACCTACATCGAAGATTGCTCTATCCAGCAAAGCTTTCATTTAGAATAGAAGGGCAGATAAAGTGCTTCTCGGATAAGGTCAAGTTAAAGGAGCTCATCATCACCAAGCCCTTATTTTATGAAATGTTAAAGGGACTTATCTAAGAAAAAGAAGATAAAAAATATGAACAGTAAAAAGACAGCAAACTCACAGTTATTAACAACCACATCTAAAACAAAAGCAAACTAAGCAAACAACTAGAACAGGAACAGAACCACAGAAATGGAGATCACATGGAGGGATAGTGACAGGGGAGTGGGAGGAGAAAAGAGGGGGAAAAGGTACAGAGAATAAGTAGCATAGATGGTAGGGAGAAAATAGACAGGGGGAGGGCAAGAATGGTATAAGAAATGTAGAAGCCAAAGAACTTATGACACATGGACATGAACTAAAAGGGAGGAATGTGGGTGGGAGGGGGTGTGCAGGGGGGAGGGGAGTGAAGGGGTAAATGGGACAACTGTAATAGCATAATCAATAAAATATATTTTAAAAATCAGTAAAAAATGAAAAGTTTATATTAGGTCATTTATTTATGAGACAAATATGCATTGACCATCGACTATGTTCAGGTACTGTGTTCTATGCTGATGTCTCCTTGGACTCTTTGGAGTGGTAAAAATGCACTTCACTTAAACAAACAGACCTTTATTCCATGAGTTAGATTTCTCTCCCTTTATTAACATAACTGGAAAAAGTTTATGTGTTAACATCATAGACTTGGAGTCGATATAAGTGGATACCCCTCTCCCCTCCTCAAAATGTATTCACATCAATCACTTCATAACAATTAGGCTGCATTTTCAATTCTGGAAATAATAAAGAGGTATTTATAAATGAACATGAACCTCTGGATGACACGGCATAATATTCGGTATAAAGATTAAGCTTGTAGCCCTGGCCAAGTGGCTCAGTTGGTTAGAGCAATATCTGGAAACCCCAAGGCTGTGGGTTTAATCCCAGCCAGGGCACATAAAAAAATCAACCAATGAATGCATAAATAAGTAGAAAAACAAATTGATATCTTTCTCTCTCTAAAAATCAATAAATAAAAAAAACTTTTTTAAATAAAAGATTAAGCTTGTAAAGTGGGTACCTTTCTACAATTTGAAAATTAACCAATTTTGTGTACATTTTAAAAATTAGCTTAGTAAAAATGTACACAAATATCAGGTCACAATAAGATATACAATTATGACATTATCCCCAAAGCTGCTTTTTAAAAATTTAACAAGATATTTCAAGTAAAAGTAATTTTTAGCTTAAATTTTCTCAATAATTGCAATAAGCTTTCCATTCCCAAGCTAACTGCAAAAAATGTTATGGGAATAGGAGAGTTCAAGAGGAAATAAATGAAAAGTCTTAACAGATTATCACCATGAATGATATTTTCTTTTGAAGGCTCATGACAGTCTTAGTATCTCGGACATCTTTTCTCTCAAAAAATAACCCAACATTTCTTACTATATTTGTATTACTGTATATTTGTAATATATTTTAACAATATATATTACAAAAGAGTGTTTAGCATTAACTAAATATAATATTTAATCAAACATGCCTGAAAAGAATCTTTAACAAAGAACTACAGTGATTTTTATGTTAAGCTTACCTATTTTCATTGAAATTTCCAATGTACTTTGCCCCATTCGGGAATGTGTAAGTCCCCAGTCCATGAAACATGTTGTCCTTAAAGTAGCCTTCATATGCTGCTCCTGAAAAATGTTCAAGTCTTCCAAAACCATTCATCTGTTCACAACAAAGGAAATGAGCTCAGTAACTATTTCCCTAGAGCACCTTGAAAATGTACATGTGTCTATCATCCACTTAGGTATTATTTAATCTATCATTGTATGACCCTCTGTTTCCATAAAAAACTAAGACATTTTAATAATTTTCCTTCATATGCATTTCTCCGTGAAGCCCCAACCTAACCTGGGGCACTTGACCATCCGGGGCACTTGACCATCCGGGGCACTTGAACATCATGTTTTAAATACCATGATGATGATAACAGGGGTCCCTGAGATGCCTTGAATTATCAAAAATCTTAAAGCGCAACCAGTTTGGTTAACCCAGGAAACAGTACACAGTTGTTAAGAACAAAAATTGAATTCAGCCCTGACTGGTGTGGCTCAGTGGGTTGGGCACCCTCCCACAAACTGCAACTGAAAGTCGTTGCTTCGATTCTCGGTCAGGGCACATGTCTGGGTTGCAGGCCAGGCCCTGGGTGTGGGGTGTGCGAGAGGCACCTGATTGATGTTTCTCTCACACATCAATGTTTCTCTTCTCTCTCCCTCCCTTCCCATCTCTCTAAAAATAAATAAATAAAATCTCTTTTAAAAAATTGTATTCAAGCAGCCCCAGGTATACATTCTTGTTTCATCACTTATTAGCTGGACAAAAAACCTGAGCCTGATTTACCTCCTTCGTAAAAAAGGACTATTAATAGTATCTACCTCATGAAATTGCTTTCAGGATTAAATAAGAAAATTATGTAATGAGTTTAGGTTTACCCAATGAACAGGAGATGAGAAAGATAATAATGACTAGTTCTCTGCATAACTTTAATATTATTCCTATGTTCATATATATATTAATTATAATCATTTGGTTTTCTGTTGTGTAGTCTTCTCATGTGTGTTTTTGATTAATGGAGAAATTCCTGGAATCATTTAATTAATAGGTTTACTTACTCACTGTCAGTATTCAAACGAAAATAATACCTTGTCATCTTTCCAGCTTCCTGTGTAGACAATCCCATTTGGAGTTGTATGAATACCTATTCCATTTCTCTCGAAGATTCCAGAAGGTGTTCTTGTACAGTCACCATCTAAACAAGAGAGACATACTGAAGATGATAGATGGGAACCTGTTTGACTAAGTAACAAAGTATTTACATTCAGGCCTAATCACAACTACACATATGAGTCCTTTGGATCCCTAGCACTGACACCAATGAGACCAGAGATGAGGAATTATAAGGTCTTGTAATCATTGAGACCCAGGAAGACTGACAGATCCCGTAAGTTGCCAAGGCACACTGCATAGACTTAACATTAGAATAGATTTAAAATCTGTTCACCTACATTATTTTATTTAATGGAGTTAGTATACCAGTAGTTGTTTTATTAAATGTTACAGTTCATTTTTTTACTCTTAAAGCTATTTAATTTTAGCCTGTATAGAAAAAGTAATTGAAATGTATGCTTACCATACTTGTCTCCATTTGGAAAAATAAAGTTTATCTTATACACTTCTGGAGCTGTTTTAAAAGATTTAGGGAAAGTCATATAAACTTAAATATTTTATGTCATAAGACCTATAACAAATATGCTTTAGGAGCAAACCAAATAGACTCACTTCATATGATCACAAGTGTATCATGCTTACTTGACATTCTACTATCTAGTGCAGGGTCCTGGGGAAATAAAATAATTTTGTCTACGTGATCATTTTGTGTAACTATCACTACAATCTAATTTTAAAATGTTTTAATCACCCAAAAAAGAAATCATGCACCCATGCACAGCTATCCTCCATCCCCTTAATTCCTCCATGCCCACCCCACCACAGCCCCAGCCCCTGGCAACCACTGATCTACGTTCTGTCTCTATGAGTTTGCATATTCTGGACATTTCATACAATATGTAGTCCTTTGTGATTGGCTTCTTTTACTTAGTATATTTACAAGGTTCATACATGTATTGATAAATAATTGTCCATTGTACAGAAATAACACATTTGTTTATCATTCATTAGTTGAGGGGCAGCTGAGTTATTTCCAGTTTTGGCTACTATAAAAATACTGCTATGGACATTCATATAAATTTTTATATGGACATGTGTTCTTATTTCTTCTGGGTAGCCTATATGATGTATTGACTGTCTCAGAGGTAAGGCAGAGTAAGGAATCTCTGATATGGCAGGAGAAAAATAGAAAATAAAGATAGTACGTGAAGAGGAGTGAGGGTGGAGGTGTCCAATCGAAATTAGATTGGAATGGAGACAGGATGAGAAAGGAAGCAGTAACCAAGGACTGGGGTGAACCTATGCCTCAGAGCATTGGAACATTTAGTGACCTAAAACACTACAGTTTTCCAATACTGAAGAAATAGTAAGTTGAAAAGACAAACACAAACACTGTCTACTAGAATGTTACTCAAAGTGTGGCCCATGCGTCAGAATCACCTGGGATGCTTGCAAGTTCCTAGGCTCTACCCTCACTACTGAATCAAAATATCTATGGGTGAGGCAAGAGAACTGACCTTTTTAATTTAAAAATTAAGTGCCAGGTGAGAAAAGCTAGAGGCTCATCCCCTCTGAGGAAATAGTTAATAACACGGTACCTAGAAGACTTTAAAATACATCCTCAGAGAGACAGAAACAGGTAGTTAGGAAAAAAACAAATGAGACGTCTAGGAAATATATAATTGATAAAATAAATCTCCTTAGAGGGGCTGAATAACAAAGATACGATTGAAAAGTAAATTAGTGAACTGGAATACAAACTTGAAAATCTTTCCCAGAAAGAAGCACAAAGGAAAACAGAGGTATCACCTAAGCAAAGCTTTTCAGATCTCCCCTCCCACCTAAACTTCTCTAGGAGCCCCCACAATACTCTGGCCTATCCCTACCATAGCACCGTAGGGCCCTGTTAAAAACAACACAAAACCAAAAAACGCAGTCTCCTATCACGATACCCAGCTCGTCTAGGTCAGGGGTCACAGGGTAGACCTCACCCTAGTGTCCAGCGTAGTAATTAGCACTTACTAGTAGGAACTGAATGTCTAGGAAATGAATGACACTTGGAAAGCAATCGTTAAATACGGAGCATTTAACTTGATCATACAAGAAACCGAATGGTTTTCAATTGCTCTTAAATGGCTCGATATTCCAAGCTTTGGAATGTTAGAGCTAGAAGGAACGAACCTAAGAGCTCGAGATCATCTGGCTGCACAGAGGAAACTGAAACGTGGAGAAGTCGGCACTAGCCTAAATTGTCACAACAGCAAACCAGCGGCCGAATCAGAGCTAGAATCCCGATCTCCTGATCCTCAGGCCAGGGGCTCACCGCGCCCCCCACCCCATCCCCCGTGTAGACTTTCAGGAAGTATGTCACACCGGCCCCGGAGTTACCAGGGACCGAGCTCTGCACAATGCGAGTTCTTTTTAAAGGCGCCCTTCCCCGCTCGGGGCGTTGGGAGGAAGGCCACTCACTTGACAGAGAGGTCCTGGAGAGATTTTCTTGACTCTGGGATTCCTCCGGAGTAGCCAGCTCTGCGGCGAAGAGGGAACCAAAAGCTAGATCTGAGCTGAGTGCGACTCGGTTGCTGGGGCAACCAGGCACCTTTCACCCGGAAATTAAAATGCGGGAGGCCAAGACTGAGCCAATCAGAAGGCGCCAGAGCTGTGCAGCTGCTGCTGGGCCGCGGCCGTGCGGCTCCAGGTGAGCTCCGTGAGGCTGGCGGTTCCCGGCGGGACCCCCACAGCCCTGAGCTCTCCCTACTGACAGCCGTCCCGGGAAACAGCACTGCGATCCCCGTACCGCCTCCCTCTCCGCGGACAAGGGGTGGGTGTCCGTGTGCATGGTTTTTGCGTCGCCCCGGTTGTTACTGTGCAGACCCTTCCACAGCCTCCCTTTGCCGTGGTCTGATGGGATCCAGCCTGTTTGGCTGGGGCCGGTGAGTCTGGACCAGCAGAATCTCAGACCCTGGGAACGGGCCAGGCGGGGGTCGACAGCTGAGTTAGTCCACCAGCCTGAGGCTGGAGGCGGGGGAGCTAAACTCGGGCTCCCGAGGGGAGTAAAGGATTGGATTGGAAGGGCTCAGATTTCATTTCCTGTCTTCTCGAACCTAATGGCTCTGTGGGAGAGAGGAATGGGGATGATTCTTGCTCAAAGAAAGGTCCTAGGTCTGGGTATGTGCTGGAGGGGGAATACGGAGTCAGTCAGAGATTTGCCTGGAAGGCGAGTGGTGTGTGTGAGCGTTGAGCGCCCCGCTTAGTGATTCTGTTTCTGGGAACCAGACTCGGGTGTGAAACAAAGGATAGTCTTCGAGCCAAACTTAGGTCCCTATGTCCACGGTGAAAAGAGATAGCTGGAATCTTCCCAGGCTAAATGGTATTGAATAGTGGAGTCTGCCTATGTGGATTATACACCCTAATTCCTGTACCCCGGAAAACGTCTGGGGAGAGACATGTTGGCTGCAGACAGCAAGTCTTCACTCAGAATTTGAGACACTTTCTGGTTTGGTGTGAGGCGAGTAGTTGATCGCTCTTTAGGCAAGCTTGCTGTGGCTTGGTCTGGCTGGCTAGCCACTCTTCTCTTTTTAAATATAATCACAGTATCTTCTTGCCCCCCCCCCCCCCATGCTTCTTACTGCACAAATTACCTGGCTGGATGGTTTTTGAAATGAAGTTCTGATCTTTCCCTCTGATTTGTATATCCCTTCCCTTTTTCTAAACTTCAGAAATAATAGATAATTATTAATGTGCAACTTTACAGAATTCACTTTGTTCCATTGTTCTGGTCTGTTAAGCTTTTAATAACCCTACATTTTTGTGAGTGTGTGTATATTACTATTGTTTTAACAGAAAAACTTGAGGCACACTTCTTTCTTATGATGTTCTCATCTAAAAGATGCTCTAGAGTCAGGAAATTTAATGATATGGTTTAAAATTTGCACTAGATTATTCATATTTCTTATTCACAATTTTTTATGATGTTTTGACACACTGAGGGCCTAGCTGGTCAGGAAGAAACTGCCCTTCCTAGGGATAGCTAATTACCAACTGACCTGTGAACATGCCTTCCATACACAGACCAACCATCTGGAGTCCATAGCCCCAGCCACCCCTGACCTGAAATCAACCCAGGGCCAGGTACCAGGCAAGTAGGGACAGCCCCTGTGCCCCAAAGTCTGCTGCAGTTATTCAGACTAGCCACCTCCAAACTGTTTTCCCTGTCCTGCCTTTCCCATGGAACCCCCAGAAAGGCTGTGGCCTGTGCCTTATCCTGGCTCCTCTCTGCCTTCTCACTGGTGCTTCCCCCTGTGGCCTCTGGTGACATGGCATGTGTCTCCTTTCTAGGGGAACTCTAACGCTACACTTTTCTTTCAATGGCATTTTCACTCAGTTACCTTTATAAATTAAGACCCAGGCACAAATCTCACAGGGGCAAACTTATCAAAAGCAATTAAAAAACCTTTGAATTGGTAAGTATGTGTGTGTGGTAAAGAGGCAACACAGTGGAAAGAATTTCAGCTTTGGACTCAGAGTTTGAATTGTTTCAAACCCTGGCTCCAGAATTTGTTTCTGTAGTTGATGATATTAGACAAGTCTGCTCCTCTATAAAATATAGAAAATAATATTTCCCTTACAAGATTTTTAGAGGATTTAGAAATCTTACCTTTCCCCTCATCGAAGACTCGTATATTCAATTACCGTCTGCATATCTCCATTACGATATCTAAGAGGCATTTCAAATGTAACATATCCAGTCTGAACTTGTGACTTTCTCCCCTCAAATCTTTTTCTCTCCAGTATTCTTATTCTGAGCACATGGCACTATAGTTCATCCAGGCCACTGTCAGAGAGCTTACCACCTATGTTTTCTTCCAGAAGTTTTTTTTCTTTTAAATATCCACAAATCTTTTTATTTGATTTTATTTATTTTTTAAAAGATTTTATTTATTTTATTTCTAGATAGAGGGGAAGGGAGGAAGAGAGGGAGAGAAACATCAATGTGTGGTTGCCTTTCACATGTCTCCTACTGGGGACCTGACCCACAACCCAGGCACGTGCCCTGACTGGGAATGGAAATGGCAACCCTTCGGTTAGCAGGCTGGCACTCAATCCACTGAGCCACACCAGCCAGGGCTCTTCCAGGAGTTTTGTGGTCTCAGGTCTTACATTTAAATCTTTAATCCACCTTGAGTACATTTTTGTGTATGGTATAAGACAGTAGTCTAGTTTCATTCTTTTGCATGTGGCTGTCCAGTTTTCCCAGCACCATTTATTGAAGAGACTGCCCTATCCCTGTATATATTCTTGGCTCCTTTGTTATAAATTAATTGACTAAATATATGTGGGTTTATATCTGGACTCTCTATTCTGTTCCATTTATTTATATATCTGTTTCTATGTCAATACCATAGTGTTTTGATTACTATAGCTTTGTAATGTAGTTTGAAATCAGGAAGTATAATGCTTCCAGCTTTGTTCTTCTTTCTCAAAATTGCTTTGGCTATTTGGGGTCTTTTGTGGTTTCATACAAATTTTAGGAAATGTTCATAAAAATATACAAATTGGTGGTTCTATTTCTGAGGAAAATGCCATTGGTATTTTATAGAGATTGCATTGAATCTGTAGATTGCATTGGATAGTATGTACATTTTAACACTGTTAATTCTTCCAATCCATGAGCACAGACTGTCTTTTCATTTATGTATGTCTTTTTCAGTTTCTTTTTTTAACATCTTATAGTTTACAGTGCACAAGTCTTTTACCTCTTCAGTTAAATGTATTCCTAGGTATTTTGACTTAAAGTTTATTTTGTCTGATATAAATATAGCTATCCCTGCTCTTTTCTGATTTCCATTCACCAAATGGAATATCTTTTCCCATCCCTTCACTTTCATTCTGTGTGTGTTAAAGCTGAGGCAGTTCTGCTGTAGGCAGCATATAGTTGGCTCTTGTTTTTTCATCCATTCAGCCACTCAGTGTCTTTTGACTGAAGAATATAGGCTCTTTACATTTGAAATAATTATTGATAGGCAGTACTTACCCTTGCCATTATTGTTTCCTCTGTGTTTTATAGATCCATTGTTTTTTCTTTCTTTCTGTCTTTTGTGATTTGATGATTTTCTCTAGTGGTATGCTTTTATTCCTTGCTCTTTAGTTTTTGTGTATCAACTATATTTGCTTTGGAGTTTCCTTGAGGCTTACCTAAAAAAATCTTACTGCATTTTATTGTAAACTGACAACAACTTAACTTGGATTGCATACAAAAGCTCCACGCTTTTACTCCCCACAGGCTTAATCTCTGAGCCAGGGCCATGTCTGAAAGTACATGTGTAAATTTAAAGTTTGTTTATGAAATCACATACTCAGTAAATGAAAACATCTCTACTCAAGTAAAACTTTTAAAACTCTATACCACATCTGACCAAATCAAAATATAGGATTGGGGCCTAGGTACGTGTTTGGAAACTTCTCCATGTGTTTCTGATGTACATCCCAGGTTAAGAAATCTGTGTCAGAGAAACTCACTAAATATCAGTTCTGATGGGGATGTGCTTATAAATATTTTGTGAAGCAACTTATCCATACTTGCCTTAAAATGGCCCTTTTAAAATGTGCATTTTTCCTTTATTTGTTTAAAATAGGCTATATCCATAACTTTGAAAACAAAGAATTATTATACTTGTCTGGTTTTATGATGCCTGTCATACTTTTTTCTCTCGCAGGTGAAAATGAGTTCTTCAGTAAGAAGAAAAGGCAAGCCAGGCAAAGGAAGTGGAAAAGGGTCTTCTAGAGGAGGAAGAGGAGGCAGGAGTCACACCAGTAAATCTCACGGGGGTGGCAGCGGTGGTGGTGGCAGTGGTGGCAATAGAAAGGCCTCCAGCAGAATTTGGGATGATGGTGATGACTTTTGTATCTTCAGTGAATCAAGGCACTCGGCCAGGTATTATGCTCTCTGCATGTTTAAATACAGAAACAGTGTTGATTCCTAATCTATACAGATGGCTAAGGGAAGGGGGGAGAAATGCCAAGTGATTCAGGCCAAGTTAATTGTTGCTCTTATCTTAAAACTTTGCGCTGGTCCCCCTCTTTATAATATATTCTAAAGGCACAATGGCAAATAGTGGCCTTTTCATTTTGGAAGTTCAGAATATGAAGTTAACTTTAACTTTCGCATGACCTGAATTGAGTGTAATACTTTTATTGTAAACAGTGTTACTAAGAAATGGTGAAAGTGATGAAAATTATTTTAAGTATTTCTTAGGCTTTATGGTTTGAGGGTCCCAATATGTCACCTGATTGTACTGTCTTTCTGATCGATGAATTATCTGTTTTCCAACCAGATTGACCAAATCTTCACTGGTGCTTCATGCTATGACCAGTGACAGATATCATATCCAGGCTTCTCTTGTATTCAACTTTTAAATAATGAGTAAATCCTGGTAATTCTAATGAATATTTAATGAAAGTAAAGATTTACTGCTGCATGCTATGCAATATAGATGTAAAATTGTAATCGTCTCTCAAACTGCATTGTGAGCTTTCCACTGGAGTTTTCAGAGGTAGAGAGATTTCTTTAAAGATACACACAC